AACATAATGAAAAACCATTAGCTCATTAAAGTGTGTAAACTTTCTCCTCTTTTGGTGGATTCTGAACTTTATGGATGTTTTACCTTGTTTTTTTATCAGTTTTATCCACTAAAAAGCTACAAAAATGGGTGTAAAATACACTGTAAAACCAGATAAGTTAAAATACCCAGTAAAAAGTTATTAATCAGGTTACTGATGACTTAAAATGTCCACTGTAATAAGTTTCAACAATGTTTTTGAGTTGAAATAACGTATAACTTAGTAAAATGTGTCATAAGTAACTATTAAATATGCTATAAATAATCCTTCCTGTTCAAATTAATACAAGCATCTCCAACACTGACTGACTTCCAGCATCCCTGAACTCATTATTACATTAAATAAATATACTATTTGAATGTTCAGGGTTATTCTCCACTTGGGAACACATATGTGAAAATATTCTAAACTCAAGGTGAAGTTTTCTGTAACCTTGCTGATATTTGATGAAGGAAATCAATTTGTTCATCCAGGCATAAATATTGCATCAAATTTAAAAATCTAAACATTCTCCCTTTTGGTATCTTAAAGTCTGTCTGGTGTTATTTTATATTTCTTTAAGCTCATTGGTTCCTACTTAAGACATAAATCTTTAAAAACAGCTGCTCTCTGTAGTTTTTAATCAAAACAAACAGAAATAGAGCATTTGTTTGGGACTATTTTCAGCAGTGGATTAATCCACACTTGGTGTTCTTGTGAGTGTTTGAGGCAGCAGGCTGGTGTTTGTGGGACTGAGTGAAAGTAAACTACAGTGTAATGAAGGAACACGTCAACTAGAGCAACAGTGCGGCTCATTAATGTGTTTTTAATAGTTTCTGGACAACAATGGAGCTCCGCAGCACAGAGGAAGGAGACACATCCGGCTCGGAGATCCGCTCAGACACCCGAAGGTGCAGCCGAAGAGTTGAATGACCCAAACTGGTTTCCACTATCCATGATTGAGCATCTGATCTACCTGAACATCTCAGACAGAACGACAAAACACACACAGGATGAAATCAACACATCTAATCCTGGGAAACAATAAAACTCATTAAACAAGCTTGTGTTATTTATAATTTGGGGAAATGGGGCCTTGTGAAACAGACAGCACACACACCCTGACAGACACAACCCAGGGCTGACTGCACCTTCCTCTATATGTGTTTCAGGATCATTTGGTTTATGTTTAAAGTTGAACGTTTTAAAAATATATAATTTTACAGCAATCAGTAAATGTGGTTCTGTTAATCCCTCCTTCACCATGAGGGCTTCAGTCTACCAGCGTGGCCTTTCAGAGCAGCTAAAAATGTACAACAGAGGTAATTTACCTTTTCCTAATCCCCGCCCTTTTTTCGCTCTGTCCTCCAATAACAGTTGAGCAATCCTCGGTCAGGAGCTCGGTCAACTTCCTCCTTTCCTGTACTTTGCTATGTGAACCTGCACTTGTATGTGACGATAACGGTGTGTTACATTTGAACTGGGAATTTACAAGTTCCCAGTCAGACAGTCGGAAGTCGGATTTCCAACTTGGAAAATCGTGCACACAGTACTGTCCAACTTCAGATCTTCTGTTTTCACATGTTAGCTAATGTTAGTGAAATAACAGCTAACTAACAATTAGCTATTTAGCTTGCAAACGATTGACGTAGATTGGATCAAAACCTTAACTAACTAGCTAAAGACTGATATAGATTAGCTAACTAGTGGTGGAAAGTAATTAAGTATATTTACTCAAGAACGGTAATTGTACTGATTGGAGGTACTTGTACTCCCTTTTGCAAACTGAGGGTCACAGGATTGTGTGTCTTATGCTGCACACTTGACCGCAAAAAGTATCATGACTGATTTTTATGATAAGATATAACTTTATTTATCCAGCTGCAGTACAAAACCAATAAAAGAACACATACATAACACCATGAATAAGGATGAAAAGTTGCTTTGGGGTGAGTTGCACACGTGTGTGAGCAGCAGTACATTACGTGAGGTTCGCTCGAGTTGTTACGACAGTTTGTAAAAAGAGAGAGTTTTGTCAGAATCAACGGAGTCGAGTTCAGCGGTGGGAGGTGACAAACTTCAGATTCCTGTTTCTGAAATTCATTTCCATATTTATCTCGAGCGCTGTCTGTCTGCCAGTCTGTTTATCTTTCTGCTGCTTTTCTTCTTTCAGATTTCAGCTTCCAGTCAACTGACTGGATTTATTTTGTTCCCAGTCAGTGTGTGTGTGTGTGTGTGTGTGTGTTTGTGTGTGTGTTGATAACAGTGCTCGTCTGATAATCAGCCACAATTACATCCCAACAGAAAGAGACAGTGAAGAAGTGGGTGGAAGGAGGAGAGAACTATTGATATGGTAATATCTGTCACACACACACACAAACACACACTACACACTACACACACACACTACACACTACACACACACACTACACACACACTGTACACACAC